TGGTTCCTAAGTCTCGAGTTTAAGTAATTTGACAAATAAAATAGCTCGTAGCATTTCCCCTACATAATATGACGTTGTTAATTAGTGGACAAAGAAATAATATTTAACGAGCTGTTTACGTATGTGCCACGTCGTATCAACTATTTCCAAGTATTATTTATTATCTTGCACTTCATTATTCTACTGAAAATATTTTTGAAATTTAGCCAACTCCGCGCTAGACATTCCATGACAGAGCAAATGTGACACGATGAGCATTTGGCACCTGATATGGCCCACTTTAGTTCATTCTGTGTCATTTCTTCTACATATAGATACAGCAATAGCAACAATTATTGAGCAAGCTGACTCATCTGATATCGTATGTTATATTATGGTCGAATTGTCAAGGATATCTCACCAATAAGCCTTGCCCAGTTTCGGCTTTTCAAGATTCGCATGAACTTCCGCCACTTACCATTGTAATAAATGCCAGACCACCGACTCAAAGACTGTAGCTCGGATTATTGTCCAGACTAGCCTTTATCAATATATATCGCAATTATCGGGTGATAATCACTTGGTTGTTATGGAACTCAAAGATTTATCTTGCGGAAGCTTTCTTAATTTATTCTTTTTAGCTTACAAATGTCGTTATATCAATAAACTAGCAATTATTGCCAGTGATAAGTTATTATTTATACATGCATCTGACAAAAGTAAAATCGTAGAAGATTCGTTAGTTGCCAAGATGGCAGTGCTAATTGAGCCGGATCACACATGTCGTATCTTAGTCACTATATGAAGGCTGCGCTCACGTGAGACGTGTATTTGATGTCAAGAGACGTTGTTGAGAGTACAATACGAGACTTCCGTCGCAGGTGATATAATATAAATTACTAGTTTACGAATCCATAGTTTATTAATCTGTAGCAACTGCAAGACCTCAGTGCTTATTCAAGTTGATACCACTTTTATTTTATTGCCCAATATTAGCCCATCGCTAGTGATGGGCTAATATTAGACAATTGGGTTATATATAACCTAACATATATAAAGCTAATATAATGATCGGCTTGTCAGGAATACAGATATTTTCATTATGCTCATTTCATCTACTTTGACTAGCCAATAGGCTCTTATAAAGACTGACGGTGCGATATGCGTTCGTAAACTACATTCGATCTCATTCGTACGTAGCTCTTGAGATGGTATTATAACGATGCTAATTTCTGGGCAAAATATAGACGTATCGACGTTCATTAACACATTGACAACCAAATGATGAACTGGTAACCGAGTGGTAAATAACGTCGAATCATTGGTTAATGTGTTTGCCCGGCCTGTCAGAACTCTGATCAATATACGTCGCTATCTCCTTACGACAGATGCTGTCCGCCAATAGGACATCCGCCAAAGCCATTGATTTGTTTACCAGCACACGCCAATTATACCACTAAACCTTCGCAAGCGGAAGCGATATATCTTGCTTATTTGTGAAAAGTCTGAGTAAAATGTACCGTCTACAGACTAAGAGCTCTCAATCGATGTTGTTTTCATAGGTACCTATCGGGTATTGTTGAATCCACTGGAAGAAGCTCCCAATTGTAGGGACTGGGGTCCGCCAATATGTTTGCTTTGTTTTGAAGGAAGCCTATTCTTATAATGGATCCGTTCCTTGTATATGTCGTATTAAAGAAATTCCCCTCATGCACAATATTTATTTTTGTACGATCTTCTATTCTAAAATTGACCAGCCATTTGCATTAATTGTTACAGAGCAATCTAGGCAACATCGATTATCTAGGCTCAATAACAGGGTTGTATGGAACATGTCCTCTCCAGTTTGTCTTATTGTCCAGAACACACACAATCGTCAGTCGTGAGCATAATTCAACGGAAGAATGGGCATTTAAACTGAATCTCGTGTTCTATGTACACCTTATATGTCCCTTGTCCTTGCAAGGGGTCTGCAATAAAGCCCTAATCTTCTATTGAATATGAAGACGTTCAGTGAACGCTTTTCATTTCATAGCTGGAGCAAAAATTAGCCACCTATGGCAGGTATTGTTTACCCAACTCGATAATAAGACTCCCTTAGAAAGAGTAGACTGAGACACGTCGTTAAACGTCGCCATAATCGCCTATAAAAATATATCTATTTTTCTATCAAAAAAACCGGCGTCCCATATTTTGGTGAGGTATTCCAAAACACAGGCGTTTAATGAATGTGCGCATGGTGTTGACAAGGAAAAACCATGCTAATTATTGACAAAGCGCAAAAATCGATCTTCGAAGTTTCTTCGCCCCTGAATAAACGAACAGTCCTAAAAAAAAGCCAGCCCAGCAACTCTAGTTGTTGTCAAGGGACCGGTGGAACGCTGCCAAGGCGTTTGTTGCTCATTCGAGCAGAAAGTCAAACGAATGCATTCACAATAGCAACGTATCTACGGCGCTCTAAAGAAACGTAGGTGTTGGACGATTCAAAACGCCTGTATAAGTTCAGTCACCATTTCTCGGACACGACGTACCATGATTATCCAAAATGCAGCAGAACTTAATCGGCTTTTAATCTGAATACAATTTTTAATTCTATATACTTCGAGTCTGTTATTACGAATACCTGTGGTATGACGCGATAAATTCGGGCATGAAGCACAATAATTTGCAATGGTCACAACTGAATGAAGTGAATCCCTAATTGGCTATTATCCTTTGTCAAACAACGTATGAGTCGTTTGTTAGTACAAATATCTCTAGACGTTTAAAGCTTTTAACAGTTGTCCCCGAAAATTATTGTTCTGTTCGAGGATTTCGATCGAGACGAAATGTCGGTTACAATAACAGCTACAGGTTGACAAGAACAACTAACTCGTAGCTTAGCAGTATTTCGAATTTAGCAGATCTGGTAAACACTCATCATGCCACACTGGTATTTGCATAAAATATGCCCGCCGTTAATTATATGAGACACAACAAATATTTTATTATTATACTGCAATAAACGATTTGTTCGAAACAGAAAACGATAGCAACTTGACCGCCATTATGACAGCCGATCCCACGCATGTACGTAGCGATTTCATACAAAATTGTTATGTATACAAAATATAGAATTTCTATTTATTTTCTATGATAATAACAACATCCATAGCAATAATATTTTATTATCCGTACATGGACGAAGTGGAAGTGCGCACGCATTTCTTGCTAATACTATTAATTTCTGCCTAGAGACTTCGACGGTTCTCATTTTTATTGTCCATCGTTCTTGCAGTTTCTCTGCATTGACTTACAGGTAGCAAACTATAGTGATATTCAAATGCGGTAATTTATACCATAATTTTTAGCTTAACAATGTACTGTCGTCGTTATCCTATAGACAAAAATTGACAAAGATATATATATGACAAAAAAAAGATATCTATCTAGAAACAAAAATTGACGGCCCTATAGCTTGAGCGCAAAAATACTAGCACCAGCAAAGGTATCGAGAAGATTTATCGATCTACAGGATTAAATCAATACACAATGACGGCGCTGCAGTTTCGGTGCAGCTGGTATTTCAACGTTTCGCAACGTTTATCGCTATTCTCAACGTTAATAACGTTAAGAAACATACTATAATATTTAGTTGCTGTTTCTTTCTTCTCTTACTGTAATAATCACACGACCGCTACCATCAAAGGGACGCTATCAAGCGCTCCGTGTCTTCGTAGTCCTAGCTAATTAGCAATTGTCATTTAGGCTATACGTAACTTTTTACTTGCTAAATGCAAATAAGTCTCCGGAAGTGTTTTTCAAGAATTCTACGGGTTCCATCCAGTCCGTAAATGCCGCAGCTTCGGTATGGAACTCGAAAGCGACCTAGGCCATTTCCCGATTGAGATCAGAGAATATTGGTGGCAAAAGTCTTGTTATCGACGTACAGTATTAAAATGAGCACCGATGCAAATATGGCCCATTTTAGTTTAACTACAGTGATTCTAACCGTCGATTTTATTCGTGCACCCAAAGTCTTCCTCCTGGCTCGATTTTGTCTCAGATCCATTACTTTTCCTTCTGACACTCTATTACTGATCTGAAACTAAAAGCCTAAAAGTATATGTTTAGAGTTTGGTGATATGTGAGACGTTCGCTGGCGTATAAACTAAATCGTTGCAACACCTTTTGCTACCTTCAAGTTAGATATCAACTTCTTCATTTTAAGTTCGATAGGAAATGTCTTCCATACGCTCATATAGTTCGTTTTAGGACAGTCTCAAGGAGCCAAAAAGCAATACGACAGTTGCTTTTATACACATAATAAATTAAACACTACGTGCGAAATATCCTTTTATAGAGATGACCGACCATTTGCTCTAGCGGAAGTACGACAAAGCAATCAATTAAATAGCTTTTTTTCTTGTAGTCTCCGGTGTGTGGTGATGAAGAATGCGACGTGTTCGCAACATGTCGCACCTCATCATTTCAGTAAATGTATATAATATTCCCTGTGAGGAACATATAGTCTCTATATTGCGTTATACTTAATGCAGTGCTAGTTCAGCAACGCCCTCGATATTTACAAAATATAAACGATCTTAATGTATGTATGTATAACAGTGAGCATATCCTTTGAAATGTTCACGTTAATCACCGACATGAGGAAGTCACATTTGGCCCACTTTGCTGCCCTAGTAAAATATACCATTTACACTTGATAAGTATTGATTTGGAATCACAGAACGATCAGTTTCAAGTTCCTCTTCCTTCTATTCTACTTCAAGTGACAAGAGAGCATTGCTGGCTGTAACTGAGCGCGACACGTACATACTGACACGTGGTTCTAAATAAAAGTCGACCACGAAGCGCCAAGTGATCAAGGTCGCCGCCATGAGCTTAAAAAGACAGACACTGCGTTGCGTGTCCTCAAACGAACGTTCTGGTACTCAGAACAAGGTCCTCTGTAACGCATCTTTAAACTGCCCGGTTGATCTATCAGAGTCTAGCGTAAGCAATGTACTTTTACTAATACTTACCAAACTGTGTAAACCAAGGGGGGCTTTTCGGGCGTGGTACGTACACACGAATGTGCTGCCGAGAAAAGTTATGTCTCAGCATTGCTCAACAGGCAACTCGTGTATCGTTGGCGAAAAGACCGTGGAGTCACTCAATGAGTTCCGTTAAAAATCCTTTGAAACCAACAGCGTTGGAGTTGAAGCACTGCAACACGCACAAATAGAAATACGCATAGGTATTTACGCAAATGGGTATGTGGGGCTGGCTACGGAACCTCATTGGAACTGCATTGGGGCCGCAGGCCAACGTAAGTTCTCTACAGGAATAGATGTACGTTTGTGTTGTGTTTGACCAGGTGCACCAGCGTGTAGCTGTGCAATACAGAATGGTTTTGCTTCGAAAAAATTAACGAGTCATTCTCTCGTTGACTCGTTTATTTTTCTGCACAAATTGCTTGTTGCTGCTTCCACACCTCTGACATTCAAAGAGGTATTTCACATCCTGAGGCGCCTTTGGCTATAAGGCCGCAATCTGAGATAACATTAGACAGATCGGTCAGACCTTATTCTGTTCATTTCTTGCTAACCATTGCACTACATGAATTATCCAACAATGACTGCAATTTATTCTCGTTAACTGGATCACTATTTCTAGCCAATGTACTTCATTTCGCACTGAAACTGCTCCCTGAGACTTATCTCCATTCCCACATTGTTTTAAGTAGTTGCTAGCTAAGAGTTAATAATTAACGAACTATAGTGCGATGGCTATCATTCCACTTCGTCATCAATAGCCACCTGTACCGCTGTGAACTTCTACAATTGCATTGGCAGCGGTTCCGAAATTCTTAGTTCCCTATTCAACGATATAAACTTATCCGGTAACATAGGTTGCCATATCGAAATGAATGTGCGTGATCGCGGAACTAGCTTGCCCGCTCCTCTAATGGCACCCTTCAACGTAGTCCCGTAACAGGTAACGTTTCAACTTTACTGTAGTTATATTACTGCTGTTTCTATTGGCCCTATTGCTGCCTTCGTTGTAGTAATCGTTGTCATAATGCTCCTGATTGGCCACGTTCACAGGTTGAATGAAGGAGAGAGCATGTCCATTCTCTGTCCTCCATTTATTCGCTCTAACCAGACATAATCATCTTCACTTTCATAGATACGTAATTTTGCAGTACACCTATGGGTCGTAGGTTGCAGCGTAAGCTTAAGCCTGCCAGTAGAAGCTTAGTCGGTCAAACTGGCGCTAGTGATAGCACGGATGCTGCACGATCATAGATATGTGTAGCGTCCGTCACCGTTGTTAAGACATTGGCAAATGTGAGCCTTGCCGTGTGGTGGCGAGAGTTGTTTGTGGGAGGCGGCGGGCGCTACCACAACAATAGCAGCAGTACGCCGCCCCCTGGTAGGCAAACGCAGGTAAAATAGACGAAGTTTTGGCTTGATGAACGTTCATAATCTATAGTAGGAACGTAGCGCGCGTGGGTCACGGTCAAGCCGATCGTGATAGTAAACCTATTGAACATAACTTATGTAGGCCAGTGGTGATGGTTACATTATTTTTGTTAAAGCTGTATAAAAGACAGATTAACTCGGAGCAGTAGTCCGTAATGTTACGGTCAGAGACTGAATGTTGATTGCCTCTTTCTGTGCGGTCGCCTCGCCCGTTTGTTCTATCGACGAAAGCAGCCTAGGAGAATATTACAAAGGGTCAGACACAATAGCTTTCAGCAACGATTTACTCTACCGCTTTGGTTATTGCTATTACTATCATTGAATAATGATTAGACAAAGTAGTAAAAATAAGTCAAAGGTCACTGACAAACAGACGTGAAGAAGTGTGGAGAGTGCTTGTGATAAGGAGACTTCACGGGGAAAAACTTTGACTGCAACTCAATCGGGTCGTTTTGTGAGACGCCAAATGTCATCCAATAGGTAACACCAGAAATTCAGGCGCCGTTGCAGATGCGTTTTTGATCGCTTTACACCTTTGTCAGTGAATCTTGTCGAAAAAAAAGGAGAAAGGCGATGGTACGTCAGAAATGGCTGAATTATTATATCCTTCTAGCTTGAACAGCTCAACGCAGTTCGGGAGAATGCCGGTCGTGTGCCGGCTTTTGGCGAGATCGGATCAGTCAATAGTCGGAAGTTGAGCGGTATATTTTTGAGTCCCGTAACTACACAGTCAGCAATGAGTTAGTGAAAACGACAGTCATCTGGTGTTAAAACCTAATTCGCGCAAATCTCAAACAGTGTTCAACGCTGATATACTGATGTGTCCTAGTAGATCAGTTACGACAGTAGACCTTGACAGCTGCAACCTAGGAAGTAGTAGTTTTTGCGTTAGTTTGCTCCAACAATGCACCTTCTTCTGACGCGGCGCGACCTGAAGCCGCGATCGAGAGGGTTCAGCTTTTTGTCTAAGTAATGCTGTCTAGCGCTACTAGGGTAGTATGGACGGCTGGACAACAAGAGGTGGTTGACTCTGAATCACTGCACCTGGCCCATCATCAGATTTCTGGGTGAGTCATTTCTTACTTGCAGTCGATCCATGCTCCGTTCTCTAGTAGTTCTCTGTGGTTCGCAGGTCCCCTTTTAAAAACCAGCGAGGTTTCCTCTGGGCAAGAGGTAACAGCTGGTTGTTGCTCTTTCCACCATTGATGGTGGCGCAGCGATCAATGGCTCTTTGTCCCATCCATTATTTATTGCTGGCGGATATTTGTTGTGTTGTTGCTCATTGCGACTGTTGTATCACCCTTCGCGATCACTTCGTTCTGTTCGGGTGAGCTTTTCGAGGCTCACATACAGTTACGGCCTTCATTGAAGAAACCCCCTTTCGTTTTTCAAGAATCCATTACCGAAGAGAAATAGCTACAGTTCTACACAATATAGCCAAATGGCCTCTTTACCTCAGTTGTTCCACTCGCTGGCTGGCTGGCTGGCTGGCGCTGTAATTGTCATTGTGTAGGACCGCAGCCAATTCAAGCGAACTATTGCGCGCTACGAGTATCAAAACAAGTCAAAGTACGTTGGACACTCGGTTGGGCTATAATCCGGGAACAGCGTCTCTGCGACCCTCGCAAAAGCAAAACCTTTGCGCGCTGTTTCCCTTTTATGTAGTAAAACTTCAGACTGATTGACATTTTTAATGCGACGACATGCATGGTGCGTGCGCCACGACCAACCGGCACATCTCAGCCGAAGAATGAACCGTTTTGGGAACGACTTCAGTAGACTATCTGCTTTATGATAGACGCTTCTATTCTGAACTACGTTGTTCCGCTCACAGTGACGACAGTCGCGGAATAGCCTTTTCGCCGCTATTCTAACTGGGTGAGGCAAACTCTGGATAGCCCTAATTTAATTGGCGTGTGACGGATAGCAAACGAGCAAAAAAAAATTTGTGTTCTCGCCTGTCCAGCAGGTACAGCTATTATTATTAATGCTATTATGCACAATGAAAGCTTTGGTTTGGGTAGTTCTACCTCATTTGGCAGATGATAACTCGAGTCGTGGGGGCGTTCGTAAGCATGTTGCCACAAAACTGCTCCGGCAACTACTCATTGGGAAACTGTTAGTGGCCACGATGGAGCTTGAGGTCGGAGCGACGACGGATCTACACCCATTCCTTTCCATTCAATCCTACTATGAAGTTTCTCGTTGCTCTGCATTTTACTGTCATTTGTATTAATGCACTGTAAACTCGAGTAAGAAGATGAGCCTAATCAGGCCAGCGGTTTAAGCTAGCCCGAAAGCACCGAACTGAAAGGAAGACTGAAAGAAAGAGGGAGCTCGGGCCTGAATAATAATCGTGCAAGTAGAAGAAAAAGTTCTTGAGAGATGGCAAGATACGTGTCGTCCTACTGGAAGCAGCCGCCGCTACCATCCGGTATCTGAAGCAACGTGATTCACTGAAGCATTGAAGCATCGAACGTGGAACTCGGAAGATGTTGCTAATAGAATGAGAAAAGAATACTTAAACGTATTTTGGCGTCCGCTGTTTGGTAACTGACAATTCATTGCCACAAGCTATTGGAGTTAGTGTTACCCTCATATATAACAGGCATTAGAGGTACACGAGGAACAAGCCGTCGAACGTTGGTTCAAGCAACTCTGCAGAGCAGACGATGCGATTCAACTCGAATCGATATGGAAACAATTTTGTTGGACCAACAGTAGAAGCCAACACCTCTTGACTTCGCATAGCAAAAAGATATGCGAGTCCTAGCAACCGGTTTTAGAGTAATGGCAGTTCGTTGACTGGTAGCTTTCCCAAGAAGGCTTAGCTCGACGGCATGGACCGAACTAAGAAAAAGCTACAGAAGATGGAGCTGTCAACAGCTTTGTGCCTTCTACCATAGCAGTTCATGTCACTACGAAACCGACCGATCGACTGAGCCGCCAAGTTAACTGCAAACAAACTTGGCAATCATGGGCATAAATGAAAATTAGGGCCAGGCACACCCTACCGGGAGTGCAATCAGTGAAGCCGCTGAAAGCCCTGACGGCAGCAACCCTAAAAGAAAAATGGATATTCGTATAAAAAACGCACAGAGCAAAAGGACAATGCTCATTTTTTGTACACGAGCTTTTACTTGTTCACGGTTAGGCGATCAATATACACTCGGTGCAAGTAGCTTCAAAAATTTGGACCTTTAGCTCTTTTGTTGGAGTTACCATATGAGGCTTACCATACATACCATGAGTTACCATACGAGAAATAACCGCTGTTCGATCTAATGTCGATGTGATGCTAATCAATGATCGCATTAAGTAGCTGCTATTAAGTATATTACCGTGCTTGATTTTCCTGTACTTAAAAAATTATCAATATTATGTGATATCTAATATCAAAAACGAAGATAAAAGATCGATAGGGAATGTAACCTGACCCTGAAATTGGATATCTTTTTAATTACCCGCCTCTAGCGGTTGAAATTTAGTTGGAACCAGCAAGGAACTGACCAGCTGTCGGGCCGGAACGTATCGCCACAATGAACGGGGTTTCCACGAGGGCAGAGCTTGGAGCTTAAATTAAAAAAAAATTAGCGATTTGTCACCAAAATACTGAACATGCGGAAATCGAATCATGAATAGGCCCATCGCAGGTTGACTCCAGGCCAGTTGGAAGTGCGTATGGTTCCTTCTTGTACCTACAGTTCGCGGAAGTGTAATCAACAAAGAATACGGTCGCCATAAAAGAGGCGTGGTTCAATCTCTACCACCACGCAAAAGAACGGCGTAGCTGCAGAGAGAAATCAAGTTCTATGACAGTATTAAGTGAGTCAGATGTGAACTGATAATAGTGCATGCGATGAACGTCAGGGTCATGCGCTGTCGTAATATATCTGCCGAAAATGAATGCAGTTCGCTATCTCGAGATTTGTGGACCGTCGTGCACGGTAGTCAAAAGCACGCAGTCTAGTTACTTGGCGGCAAAACCACATCCTATCACCATGCCTTAATCCCTTCCGAAATTGAACAAAGTAATATTCCAAGTTGGCTTTAAGTTGTTTATTCCGCAGACCTAAATCCGTGTGATTATGGGGCGTTTGATGCCCTAAAAACAGCATCTGGTAGGCAAGTATACCACACTATTGATTTATTTCGAGAAACTTTAAAAAAGAAATTACATATGGGAATGCGAAGGGTAGGTATATGGCTGGCCTGAATGCTGGGCGACAAATGCGTCAAAAATGAAAGAAAGTACCTTTGATACGTATTAAAAAATCATCATTCTAGCTAGTCATTCTAATTAGTTATTCGATTTCTAAGTACACCGTCTTCGCTTGGTACGTAATCGTCGACGTCATTGGAAGGTCTCCGCAAAATCATGGCTGCTACCAAAAGAGATGATCAAAAGAATCAACGAATTCCCTTCAGTGTACGGTACGACTAATTAACATCTGTGTCCACTCAAATCAAATCAAAAATGAAAACAACTGCAACTGGTGCTACAAGCTGGTTTTCGCCGATATCGTTAACTGGCATCATTTTGAAATAATGGAACATTCTTTTAAGCCTGGAACGTATGTAGCTGTTCAGGCACTAGATTATGCACAATGTTTTCGAAATTACTTGTTGCGTAGTTCGTGGCTACCACTACTCGTAAATCGATACATGAACAGGGACCTTTTTCATCCCACAACATTGCAGCATTTTACACGAATTATAGCGCAAACTTGATTTACTACCTATTTGCTGTCACCTCCTGTGAACTTTTACCACCTGTCAGCTTCTTACTTTAACAGAAATTTTAACGTCTAATATTGCAGAATTCATCCAACTGCGCTTTAACGCCCTCTTATGAAGTTCATTCTCCGCTGATCGAAAAATATGATAATCTGTCGGCACAAGGTTTACAGAATATAACCAATGTAAAAAATATCCTATTCACGTTCTTGCAGGGCGACTTATCAATGTGGCCTGGCATCGTTTTAGCAAAAGCCGAGTCTGCCTTATTTTTGGGATTTTTTCTGTTGCATATCTTTGTTCTCTTAAGGTGCCTTGCGTATCGTACTTATAGCCAAACGTATCGATACTGAGACACGCTTTTTCGATACAAAGTTGACAATCGTCATGAGCAACTTTTTAAGCTAATTTAGCTTATGTTTCGATTATCACTCGTCTGCTTGCTGTCCAATATCGTCTTCTTAATGACGTTATCACTGCCTGGGCGAACTAATCTGTTGCACGCCGCTGATACGCAGCTTACAAACAATTTGCCTTTGTAAACGAACCGATCGACCGGCGATCACATTGGCTAGCGTTTCTAATCTGATACTAGATCTAATCGCAGCATTAATATTAAATACTTGTCACGACTGAGGAGTTCAGTCAAATACAGGGTTATTGTTTAAGGCAAAGTAGGTTGACGTTGAGTAATGGCCTGCATGTATATTGCATTCGAGACATTCAGTGTTTGCCAAAACTATGATAGACAACATGCGAGTGATCCTGTATACCGATATTCGACCACACTTAATTGGGTATCAGTATCGTCCTACGTAACACGGTAGCTAAGATGATTTTGTTCGATAGTCCCAAGAGCCTCCTCTGGTTGAAATCGAAGCAGTAGCCGACTAACCTGGAGATCCTTGAGTGTAGCGTCAGGCCCGCTACCATCAACATTTCGCTTTTACGGTATTCACCGTCGCCCTTCCATATTTTCTATAAAAGCTGTACAAAAAAAGGAACGCATTTTACTTTTCTAGACCTTGCTACAGCGAAATGAGTGTTCCTATTAGCGAGTGAACAGGGCGGAGGTGACGCCATACGTGGCAAAGTTGCGGATTATCTCTTCTTTCTACACTTCCCGTTGTTGTTCGGTAGCAACATGCACAAATTATTATAGTAGCCTGTTGTCTAGCCGCGCTAATTACCATTGTGCCATTTTTAGATGAACCCTTTGCGTTTCAACCAAGCAGAGCTGTCGCACCGCAACTTCCAATTCCGAGCTTTGCTATACACCCTGTGTCTGGAGTCAACGGACTGGATTATGTGTATATGTGAGAAAAGTTTCGGTACTTAGTAACACAATTGACTATTAAAATAAGCTCGTGTTGCTGATGGCTAATGAGACTCGGACAACTGGCAAATATTTAGTTCCGATACTCATATCCTCACAGTAAAATTCTGACAAGTGTGGTTCGTGTGTTTAATTTGTAAGGACGGCAGAATGTCTCGATACGTAGTAAAAAACGGCCGATTCGCCATGACTGAAGATCCGCGATTCGAAAATCCGTACTACAAAATGTAAGACAATATGTTTAACTAACCCTTACCTGTGTAGGCTGGGGGCATGACAGGTTCAGGTAGTCGGTGGTTCGAGTAAGCCGACGCACAGTACGTTTGTTGTCTAGCTTAAAATACAGGTTTGATCGAACACATAATCGTTAGGCGATTTTTATGGGTTCCATAGTCAACTTATCTCATTCCTCTTCGTCTAAGTCATCAAAGCTCATGTTTGTCAAAGGTCACGGAGTCGGAGCTTTGATAAGAGCAAAACCACTGTTCTGTGCACTGCAAAGAGCTCACCAGATGTTTTTTAGCTTAAATGTTCTACGGCCGATTTGTAAGCTATTAGATACCACTTTGAACGTGTTTTACAGGATCTATTTGAGTTTTTCTCCCATAACTATGAAGTAGTATCATAACAGCGGGACGTTGCGGATTAGAAACGAACGCGATCTGGCCAGCAATTTACTATACGTGCGTAACGGGTTTTTGTAACTACCAAGAGTTAATAATACATTAAAAAAATATGTATTTATATAGGGTGCTCATCATAGGGGGAATTTTTTATACATTTTTTTTTGTTACTATATGTTCCTAATACTGTATCTAAGCAGAAACAGATACTGCAACTAATTTTTTCGCATATGTTAGAATTGTCATTTGTGACAGTCATGTTTAGTTGACATGGCCACAATTCATCGCAATGGCAGCTTTCATTCAAGAACTAAGCCACTAATCGGTCATTTCCAAAATGTTTCTTCTTATATCAGCAAAAAAGAATTTGAGAATTCTTTTTTGTAACCGTATGTTAAGCGGTTTCCCTAGATATTTGAGTTAAAGTGGCACTTACATACGTTGTATGAAAAGAAAAGAAGACCCAAAAGTAAATTTTGGGCTGATAGCACGCCGTAAATTTCAGGGGTGCAAGAGAAGCAAGGGTTCAAAGCAGTCAGCAAATTCAAATGGTGTAAAAAAGAGGCAGCTTTTTAAATTCTTGAGCTGCTTTAATCTAAGCCCTATGGCTTAGATTAAAGCAGCTCAAGATCATAAAAGTTTTCCTCGGATTTTTCAGCAACAAGAAAATATGAATGATATAGACCATTTATTTTTGGCTAAAGATAAGGTATTATTGTTTCAGTGCTCATCCAGGGCAGAAAGGTTAGACAGTAATTGATTTTAGCTCAAATTCCGAAAGTGACACACTGGTACTCGCCGTAACGAGTTTGTTGTTTGTTCTAAAAAGGATTGGCTTTTCTCTTATACTAGAGGTAACGCACGAACTAACGCTCGTCACGACAAACATCCCGCCAGAATTTTCCCTAGTTCAAATCCGTCTCCCGGTATATAATAAGCTTGAAGGGTTGTGACGGGCCCTGCAGTCAGTAATCATAACTTTAAAATTTTGTTTTTTGAGGTGAGATAACAAAATATTGTTGTATCAATGCGTTCTTTTTTGTTACCGCGAATTGTTCAGTTGATAAGCATTTCAACTGAAGCTTGTGTCTACGATAAAATTCTCTTTAATATACGAAGTGTAAGGAGCCGAATGACTAAATTGGTCCGATGTCAGCTTCTTTTAGATCAACATCTTGTACAAACAGGACCGTAGCGATAGTATTTCTGCCTAAAAAAAAAGAAGTTCTACAACGAAAAGTATTATTCAGTAAGGTCTATCGTCGAACTCGCGGCGCCCAAATGGTGCTGAAGGGAGTACGAATTAGTTCTATAATCACCTGTGGACAAAATTGGATTCAGGCATACAACTTTTATAACTCTAGTAGTATTGCCGTAACGTCCGTAATCATAATAAAAACGCGGAATAAGTGAAGATAAATGCTTGTTTACCGTTCTGCAAAGCTAACCTTAAACAGAAAGGGACTAAAAAAAAAGCGAGCACCAGAAGAACTTGACCTTAAAACGAGTTACCGTGCAGCCCCTCATTACAGCATGTTCACGGGTAGAGTCATCATTCAGAGTAGCGGCAACCTGTACAATACACGCTTACAACAAAAACGCAAACAAATAATGGGAGAACATACAGACAGACAGGATAACAATCATACTGTGATTCATATACCCATGTAATGAAACTTGTCTGCGTCTGCCTCTGCCTCACACATCGCCGATCTACTCGAAGCTACCTTACGTTCTTTGTTTTCGTTGCCTCGGTCCATAGTTTCACAGCGGCAATATCGAAGCAAGTAAAACCCGAAACGTTCACTTTATTCATCCATAGCCTCACAATGCCAAGTAGCTACCAACGCTAGCTAAGCAATGAGGGCGCAGTTTGCTATCGATCTCCTGTACAGCATCCATACAGCCTCATATCAAATATATATACATATATATATATATGCTGTCAAACGTACCATTTTAGGGCCAATAGTAATTGGAACCTAATCATTGACTGCATTCGGTTGCTGCCTTTTGTTCACTACCGATTATTTGCCACCAGAGCAACTGTTTTGGTATCGCGTAGCCACAATAGCTGCTAAGGCGATTGGAGTTGTGGCGCTAGCGTACATATTGCGTAGCGCTCATAGACGCTACTCAAAGCCCGGCTAGATTATAAGAGGGTATAATGACGTTTAGGGACACAGAGTAGGGTGATAATAACTGTTTTCGTAAATAGTAGTTTAACTGCCCTAGGGTCCATTGAGACTTTTGCCTTATGTCTAATTTACGTCGTGTGTGTATGTGTGGAGTGGACATAACAATTCTGTAGTAATCGGACTAGATTTGGGTGATGTACGGGCAACATGCTGGCCGGATCACCAACTGCAGCCGTGTAGACTGTAAGGGAACAGTAAAAAGGCGAGGGCAATTGGTAAGACACGGCGACAGGAGCACATATAGGATAGCCAGAAAGTTATACAGAGAACGAGACCTTTAAGCATCCGACCTTACCATTGGGCTATGATGGAAGGACAAGCTTGGTTTTCTGCTGCTGAGTAGGGCAAAGCTTTAAAGTTCGTTCCAACTTTTTCTAAATGCTAACATTTGTGCCTACAGAATGCATCTATGATTCCTAAGTCCATCCGATTTTATCTATTTGGAACGGTTTACTTATGCGTATGTATTTTACGTGGACGCGGAAACGGAAGGGAAGTTGGCGACAGAGACAAACAAAATCTGACAGACATTGTTAAATGTGTGGAATAGAATACCTAGAGTGAAGAATATCGTACTGACAAGTGATACATACGTCAAGGTAACTTGCATGCGGACTGAATTTCGCCTGTTAATGCGTTAGACTGCAGATGGGTGCTAATGCAGTGGTGTACGCGAATTTTTTAGGGCCATATCATGTACAGTCTTTATCGCCAAAATATAAATGGAGCGGCGGAGGAAAAGCAGGTACTACATTCGCGTGCTTATAATAGTTATTGTTATTCTAACATTGCGCATTAGCACAGTGATGTAGCTCGTCGTGAGCTGCTGTAAATAACACTTGCCACGCTATTTTCTGCTATGTATTTATTTTCATTTTGTTAGGTAGCTTCAGTTAGCTCCTATATGAACAAGCCTTCGATATCGTCTTTTAGGTACAGCATCAACAACTTGCTTCCATGAGCAGTTTAATTGGGGTAGGTCTTGCTCAACTTATCTGGGGTTTCTCCAGCAGACTTATTAAGGTCAAAAATTAATTCACATAATAGTTGATCAGAATATTTTGGTGTGTATATGGTTGCCAGACAGCCAAAACTGCCGCTCCCGCAATCTCCGGCTTATATTAAAGCTACTGCTACACCGATAGCGATCGTCTGTAGGGTGTCACAGTTTTTATCTAACGAACGCATTGTGCATTCTCATTATATGTAACCAGTATATGTAATTTTCTGAATGCTTTACAAGAGAAGTAAATTATCATTGTTATTATTATTATTAGGGGAAATCGGTTAACTCGGAAATTTTATGCTGCTTCGATTTATATGTGTCCTTAGGACACATACAGATAAATTAGTTTCCTTTCTAAAAGGTTACTTTGCTGCGAGAAAATAATTAAAAAGCATAATTTATTTACTTTCGGTATTTTTAACAATATATTCACCGCATTTAAACGAAAAAGACTAATAATGACAATTCGTAGCGTGTCTACGCTTTGTCGAAGAGCTTTGGGCAGAAAACAACGAAATCTAATGCAATGGTGGTTACAATTTATTGATTCGGTTTACGCGGAAAGTTTAAAATGTAAAATGTAAACCAACCACATAGTGCATGGTAATTTAGATGCAAAATACAGCAGTTTGCATCGAAATAAGGTTTAGTATCAGGGATAGATCTTTGCCCCAAGGCTTCTTAAGAGCGAAAAGGTTGCACTGATGATTACCAGTTACATGCTGGCTACTGGTCCACCAAAAAAAAATTGTGTAGATATGGCATCTGCATGGCTACACTTATATAATACGTGCATATTATATTATATTATATAAGGTTTAAAACATACTTATTATATAGGTATGTTTTAAGTCAACCAAAAAAAAAAAATTAAAGCTTTATCTCTTGTTAATTTTTGTAAATGTAAACTATTCTAGCCACGCCTTTTACACCAGGCACAAAATGACAGAGTACCAACTTAAACGAATGAAGGCGCTACTCGCCGAACATGGCCAGGAACATTTGCTCCAGTTCTGGGATCATCTTGACGAAAAGCAACAGGGTGAACTTATCGGTAAGACATTTAACGTTGTGAGTGCTTCTTTTTTTCCAACAGTATCTTTAAACAATAATAATAATAATATAATAGTTTTCTCGCTTTCTGTAATTGTTGTTTTTTGCTCGTTGCCATTAATTTAATTAGCTGACATCGACTATGTGGACGTCGCGCGTTGCGCGGCAGCGTTCTCAAACGTAATGCTTCCAAATAAGAACGCCGACGATCTGGATTCCCTGCTTGAGCCTGTTGCGACGGATCAGTTTGGTTCCGTAGCTCGGTCCAGCCCAGAGCAGCTTGCGGCTTACCGCCAGGCCGGTCTTGAGGCCATTTCAAGAGGGGAGGTATATTGAAATTAGTTAGTGACGTTTAATACTAAAATACGTAAATTAAGCGAAATGTAGAATTGGGTATACCGAAAAAAAAAAAAGGATAATTCTGGCTGGAAATTACCGTAGCCGTAACTGCAGTACTGTACGAGAGCAGTAAAACTAGAGCAGAGGAATAGTTATGTATACGCAGAGTAGCTTCTAATTGTGGAAAACGTCCCTTATGGGTTATTTATCTTTTATGCATTAATTACCTACTCCTGACATCAGACAAAAACCAGTTCTTTTTGGAACAAGAAAAGCAAAGCTCGTCACAGGAATCAATGTACTGTGTCCAGAACTTGAAATTAGCTATTATCAATTCTTTTCACATTGGACGAACCCCACTGAGATTTTTGTTCGCCCACAATCAACGATCTGGGTTGTTATCGGATCCTAAAAAATCCGAAAAAGGCTCTCGGGAAGAATGTTCGATGGGGAGATCCTTAGCAAGAGTCAGATTTAGTGTGCTTAATACGTTTAAATATTTGATGCGAAAATTGGCAGCTTTTTTAGAAAAGCGAATATCAGTTGCCAGTTGGGTTGTACAGATAAACTCCAACGGTAAGCCTTTTCGCGTCTTTTTCCACCTTCAGAACTTTTCGGCTATTTTGAGCCCTTACATTTCTCGGACTCTGGTATGTACCCACCCTAAAATTTATTTTTCATATATAGTGTGTATGAGCGACAATTGAATTTAGTCCTATCAATATCGCCTGACGTACGGTCATTATTTAAGTTTTTTGTGGATTAAGTTGCTCTGTACACTCTTTACCTGTGCTTTGTTATTGACACGATATACCACATGTAACCTTTTATTTGTCGATATTTCATTAAGGAGTTATAATGTCGTTATTATAATATCATCGCCATCATCCGCAGTTCGTTTCATCTACTTTTCTTCAGGTAGCTGCGCTCCTTTTAGCTGGAGGCCAAGGTACCCGCCTGGGCGTACCTTATCCAAAAGGGATGTACGATGTTGGCCTACCCTCAGGCAAGACCCTTTACCAACTGCAGGTGAGAGCAGCGATCACCATCAAGCATAATTTGACTATCTTTTATTAGTAGTCTCAATGTGGCATAGACATCCTCCCTTTGAAGAAATTAGGCTCATTTAAATTGGAGAGATTAAATTCAGTGTCCCCACGGTGGTGCAGATAAATCTAAGAATATGTTAGATGATTTAGATTCGAAGCCAAGCTAAAATGGATGTTGTTTTGGCATTGCAATTTATTTCCTTCAGGGCGAACGGTTGAAAAGGCTCGAACACTTAGTCGAGAAACAGACGGGGCGTGCTGGTTGCAGTATTCCGTGGTATATCATGACCAGTGAGCACACTAGAAACCCCACCCTTGAGTTTTTCGCCAACCATGATTTTTTCGGATTAAATCAAGACAATTTCATAGTGTTTGAACAGAACATGATGCCGAGCTTTACATTTGACGGCAAGATCATCTTGGAAAAGGTAAGTAATAGAAAAACAGAATGACTTCTTAGCTTGAAAGATCTTGAAGTTGTACAGGAGGCTTTGTGTAAGTGAGAGCGCCTTCCAATTCAAATCAATAACAGCCATTAACCTACTTAAACATGTGAAATTTATAGCTAAAAAGGCTAAGTTTCACTCTAATCCTATATAATCTATACAGAAACTTCCGTAATTGAAAACATGACTGCGCTCTAGTTCCAGCATGGCTTGTTGTGGTCCGTTTCGTATATACTGTTAATTAAGCTTGTTAATTAACACTTGCCTATTAATCTTAGGAATGCGCTACGTTTATATGTGGTCTCTTATTAATCTTTTCTTACGTCAGGGCCTGTTGTAGTTTTATTCATTTTTATTTAGATACGACCATGTCAGCACTCGATTTCAAAATACTCGATTCTTATTGTATTAACGTCTCTATGAAGTCTTAAAGCCTTCATATTGTATGCAATACTAAAATATATAATGTTACTATGTTGCTTTCCTAAGACTTGTCATTTTCTATGTTATTCATGTTATTAACGAAGACTTACCGACTGGCGTTGAGTCCTGACGGCAATGGTGGTCTGTACAATGTTCTTTACAAACGCGGAATCCTCGAGGATATGGTACGCCGAGGCATTAAGTACATTCATGCCTATTGCGTTGACAATATCCTTGTGAAAATTGCCGATCCGACGTTTATCGGGTTCTGTATCAGCAAAGATGCCGACTGCGCCGCGAAGGTGAGCAAAAAATCACACACGGTGCTATATGGAAATTATAATTTCGCCTCCCAGAATCGCTGAAATGATAAATACTATGTAAACGACATGAGAAGCTGATGAAAAGTATCATGAAGTTGGTAATAATAATTAGTGTAGATAGTCGAAGTGATGATAAGTAATTAAAACGAACCAAGCCACTGAAAACGAAAATATATATATGACATTTACGTTCTACGATCCCTATATCATACCGATTCTCTATATATGTGCAGGTCGTTGAAAAGGCTTCTCCAACAGAAGCTGTAGGTGTCGTGTGTAAAGTCCGAGGTCGGTATCAGGTTGTTGAGTACTCAGAGATCTCAGCTGAGACCGCACAAAAGCGCAATCTCGATGGGCGATTGACTTTCAACGCAGGAAATATCTGCAACCACTTCTTCACTCTCGATTTTCTCAATAAGGTTTCCGGGTGAGCGAAATTGCACGTTCGAGTTGTTACGCAGTTCATATAGTACCTGGCTATTGACTGCCGCAGATGATGTTAGATTGGCAGTTTTATTTAATCTTGAATTACGTTCATGTCTCGATGCTCCGTTCGATTTAAAACGGCTCACTCCACACGAATCAAAATTCCAATGGCCGCGTGTCCCGCATACGCCAATATTTTTGTATATTTGTGCTCTTTCCATCCAGACATCTTTAACCTTGACAAAGACAATCACTTGAATCCTATGCAGAAGGGTGAAGATCATCATTAGTAGTGCTGATTATGCTTATCAATGAATGCCTGTTGTCATTATAGAGCCCCCATGATTTTCGATTATGCGCATTCGTGATTTATCTATCTGCACTAGCAAGGAATTAATTGTTCAAACCCCAACGACATGCTACTCTACACACGTCTACACCTTTGTGAACGCTAACTGCCTTTTTTTCTTAAACTTTTCTTACCCATGCGACTAATCGTTTATTACAGTCACCTCAATCAAACGCCCCATACGAACCCATGTTTTTCGTTAATATGATAGTCTGTCCGCCCTTTTCTGTCGTTGCTCTTGCGATCAGTGATCTTTTCACGGTAAAAAGACACTTCTGCATCATTCCCGCCACCCTAATGGCAAACCCATTTTCCTGCATGTTACCTGCTGTTTTCTCTGTTGCACACACGTCTTGGCCTTTCGGATGACCTACGTCCTCGTGATCGATCACATGAACGTTGACTTCGCTCTTGGTTTGTTGCTTCAACCCGAACCTGTCTCCGGCAGTATGGCAGCCTGCATGAGGAAAATTGATATCAACGGCAACGAAGAAGATACCAGGTAGAATTGATAAGCATGCAAGTGATCACCATGCGTCATCCTTTGCGCGCTAACTAAATTTTTAGTCGAATAATTGTTAGGGAAATGTAAATAACGATATGACGTTTTTGTTTGGGCAGAACAGGTAATCTACATATACAATCAGCCTGCTCTCTTTCTGAGTCGGTCTGCGCATTGAACCTAAGCCTGCATTGGCTTATTGCTTTATTTAACGGTGTTTCAGTTAATAAGAAAAAGAAAAATTCGTTTTTCAAGCTATATAAATTGCGTTGGATGTTCCGCCTCTGCACGTACAGTTCTCGTAGTACAACTCGATAAAATAGTCTTCTGCTGCTTAACGATCTAGCCAGGTCGTTTTTTGCAAAACCCTCTTTAGTTTAGTAATTTTGATTTCGAAGTCCTACTATTTATTATTATTTACTGACACTCAGCTTGATTTTAACAGCAAGGCCGCCCTGAAATACCATGTCGCCAAAAAGAAGATTCCTTTCATTGATGCGATGGGCGTATCCAGGCAACCTGAAAAACCAAACGGCGTCAAATTGGAAATGTTCGTCTTTGATGTCTTCGAATACGCAAAGTACGTAACAGAATGAAAAGGAATCATTTAAACAGATCCTACAGCTTACAAATAATTTATTGCCAACTTGTTTGATTTTCCACGCAGTTCGTTTGCGGTATGGGAAGTATTACGGGAGGATGAGTTTTCGCCGCTGAAGAACGCCGATGGGGCTGAGAAGGATACACCAACAACTTGCAGATACCACCTTTTTGACTTGCACCATAGGTACGTAGCAATAACTTATTAATAATTTATTGCTTCAAAAAAATTTATTCAGTGTGTTCCTTTATTGTACAGACATGCGTCTATAATAATACATAGTATTATTAATTTAATAGGCGCGGGAGATGACTCTTTGTTTGAAAATGCATTTATACGTGTGTGAGCTGTATGATGTGTCCTATGATGTAAAAGAGTGACGCATTAGCTCGTGTTGTTCTAAAACAACGGTCAGAAACAACGGTTAATTTTCGGATCTAGTTTCTTGTCCAATTAAACGAATTGTGGTATACGTATAATTGTGTCTATTGAAGATACGTGCTAAATAGCGGCGGAAACTTTATCGATGAGAATGGAACTCCGCTCGCCCTGATTCCAGCGTAAGTGAACACTAATCTGTTATGTTTATTCGCATGCACTGTCTGCTTCTATTGGATTCACTTAGTTGAGAATTAACAATTTTTCTAGATTTATCAATTCAATCATGATCTATTCAAACTGAAATTCTGCCATTTTAATTGCGTAATTAACCTTCATGCAGTGTATCCATACCTAATCTTTTAACGGGACAATACTTATTTCGGTAGTTTGTTTCACTATCAGAAACACCTGCCACAAAGGTTGTTATGGTACAGTCATATTTGTCAACTTGGGGTTAAGTTAAAAGCCGTTTAAAAACTCTACTTTTGCATATCGCTTCGTGCGTTTTGTGTTTTGTTACATTTCTCGTTTCAGTCAAATTACAAATGGCACTATCAAGAGGTACGTACTGGTTTTTCCACGAAAAAGCAGCCTTATTGGCCATTTTTTGGTTCTATACAAAAATTCGTACGAACGTAATGTAAATTATGCGTGAAGTATCGCCGAAAACATCCCAAATCTTTTCGGGGTTTTTTTCTTTGGTGAGGTTTTTGTTCGAATTTCTGCATTCACTTGGGTGTTCTAGTGTGCTTCATTGTTTTGCGGTCCTTCACTTTATAATAATAAATGCTGAGCATTGTATAAGTATATACATATATGAATGCTTTTTTTAATACATTCGTCGGCCGTGTTGGGCAAGCCTATTCAGTTTCGTTTAGTCGGTTTGCCAGCGGTAGCCGATTAATTATACTCTAATCGCGGACAAACCGTTTCAGAGAGAGGGATACTCATGAGCCGATTATCTGCGAAATCTCCCCGCTGCTATCATACGACGGCGAGGTGGGTATATCGTACCGCGAGCGTTCGCCCTTATACCATCTGTTTCGCTAAGGGGTATTAGCAAATACAAAGCCGCTTGCATTCCTTCGGTTTCCCAGATTTTTATTGTTCCGCTAATTAAACCCATGCAGACAAATCGTGATCGTATTCGTGATCGTAAAAAAATAGTCTATTTAATCTTTTTTTTTTCGGTGTGCAATAAGCATCCCTTATTCTTACTGGTTCTGACTGGCTCATTTCAGGATCTCGAGGAAATAGTAAAAGGACAGAAGTTCCGAGCACCACTGTATCTTAGTGAAAACTTCAAGAATGGGACGCACTAGTAAGAATAACTTCACTAACAGTTCGAAGCTCTATGACAAAGTTAACGCACCAATTTACCGAATCTAAGAAAAGCTAATATTAATCACTATATGCGACAATATCAGAAAAAAACCAAGGTCGTACCACACTGTTTAAACCGAAATGTTTTTAAATCTAATTAAGGTATATATATATATGCCAGTAAACATGTGTAAATGATGTAATCGCTTCTTTTTTTACCAATAATCTTTTTATGATGTGACAATATATCGAAATAAAAATAGTTCTTTGCAACAATCGACACACTTGTCATTTTTAGATAGTATACTTAGCTTGTGAAATGTGTGCTACGTGTAATATTTTAAATATGAATTGTAATATGAATATGTTGAAGTCAGGTTCTGTTTATCACTGCAAGGTGGAATAACTACGGCGGACGAGGTTTTCGCTGCAAACTTCAGGTCAAAACTAACTACCATTTTACTATCTTGGGTACTGTGTCCCACCACATGCATAAACGCACCCTATATGATGAGGTCATTATGCGATATAGGATTGTATTGACGTGCTAATTCACGTTATTATCGATCATGACTGACTATACTGAATAAAGGTGACACACAACACACAATAATCAGTTTCAGCCTGAAGTACCTTAGCTTTCGGCTCTGGGATATTTTTAACTTCACTACCTGATTGTAAGTGGCTCCATAAGGTTTCGACGAGCTATTTTCACGGTGTTAGCCTTAAAACGATCGCATATTCCTGTGTATCTATATGCTGTAATTCATTTGATGATTTTGGTGAGGTGCTTCATTCAAGCTTCAAGACAGCTTACGTTATTTACGTGGATAATAATGTAGAAAAATAAAGTTCTTTCAGAGTATACGTATTAGCTAAAGACAGACACTGGGCGTATTTGTCATTTTAAAGACAGACCTTCATAAGCGACAGCCTTTTAGTAGCATTCGCAAAAATCAAAATAATAAATATTAAACAAGATAAAACAAAAAATTATTTTTCTCCACAAAATTTGTCTCAGTATTTTAGTACCATTGTTATTATTTTTAATGCTCTGTGTCTAATTGTTCATAATGCAACAATCTCTCAGTTCTTACGTTCATCGCAAAAGGTATATATTGATTTTTTGAAAAAGTAGTGGCAATTTTTAATTTAAAACTGAAGTAGCTATTTTTGTAAAATAGAGCAATATTACTAAGCTAAATGTGAGCCATTTTAACCGATGACCTGCCGTTTTTCTGTTTATATCGTAACTACCATCACTGTAGCACTTGTAGTAAGTTTCCAGTAATAATTGTTCTATAAGTATAAGTAACACGTCTACCTTTATAGTAATAAAATTCTAATTCATAGTCATTTCATTGCAAAAATTCTACATCTTTAAGGTGCTGTATTTTGAGTCTGAAAAAAAGTAAATATTTTACTACTATCAAAACTCAGGTTTCAAATTATACTGACGCTAACCCCAGATTACCTAAGAAATGTGACTATTTATATGTCGCCCAATATATAAAACAGGAGATTTATGAACCAAATCGTTTTTTCTAGCAAAGGCTCCGGATGTCTACAATGATCGGGTTAAGCAAATTTTCGCCCATATAGCCCCACCCTCCCCCATATATATATACACAAAAGAATTCACGTAAAATGTATAACCTTTGTCTCATGACAAAATTTCAAAGCTAGTACGGTGCTAGCCAATACATAGATTCTGATAACAGCAAGCAAACTATCACAAACATTAACAAACATTTAATTTGATGTCGTAATTGGAAATCTTCCAGTGTCCAGTGTAAATCTTCCAGCTATGCGGAATGGGCATGGCCTTCCATAGGATCTCTCTATCCAACCTATCCGTTTGAAAGGTTCTCATCAGGATGTGCTCTTACGATATTTATCACAATGATACTATGCGGGTGTTCCGCCCTGTTGAAAATAAAATTTGCCATCCTTATTAGAGTCCTTTGAAATGCATGCTAGAACAAATTTTCGCAGCAAATGCAAATAATTGCTGTAAGTCACTAAACTGCGTTACACTACCGGTAAACTGATGGTGTTCCGGGTTAACAGGTGGGTCTACAGTTGCCCAGTAAGTGCCATAATGTCGATTAATTGTGCCATTGAATTTAAATTATATTCATTACTCCAAACAATTATACCCAAACACTTTTTGCTCACATTTTTCCAAGTATCATTCGCAAAGCTGTTCTTTTCGATCCAAAGCATCTTCATAAGTACGTACCGTTGTTGAGAATCTCATCATCTTTCCATTGACAACATGTTAAAATGTAATGGACATTTGGTTTCCTAATGCCGATTGCGAAACTGGATTTTATTAACGATTTTAAAATATCTTACTTCAACTTCCCAGCTTCCTACTTTGGCTAATAGAGTTCGTTGATGTTCTCGGCCTTCCGGAACGTTATTTATAAACGTCCTGAACAGTTCCTTATGAACGATGATAATCGAATATTTTGAACTACTGGAAATAAAAAATTGCATCAGTCAAAGGCCAAGCGCGGGACTTCTTGTTTGAAGGTTCTATACTGCTCATCGACACGTTCTGAGTTCAAACGAAAATTGCGAATTCAGCAGCGGCCAATTCTCTTTTTCCAGCTGTAGCCGACAAAAACAAATCCTGATATTAATAAATGTTTACGCACGCAATACAATGCAATATTCCTTTCTCGCCTCTATACATCATTTAAAAACCTGTTTTATTCATCCAAAAAAGTCAAGACCATAAGCTTTAGGTACCATAAGGGAATACTCCACATTTTTTTATCCATTTTCACATGCTGTTTGATGATATAATAATACACGTTATGCAGAATGCTGCTTGCTTCAAGTTTTTGCTGGTCACAGCGAATGGCAGCTTAAAAAACCCATTCCACTAACAGTTTACTGTGAAGCATTTTCACTTTAAATCAAAAGCTTTATCTCGGCAATTTTAACAAATGTTAGCTGGCAACAATCGGATGATCGACATAAAAATAGATAACAAGAAAAGAGGCTATTTAAAACTAAAAAAACGGCTTACTGAAACAGCAACACTTCTCACCGTCTTGATCGTTTTGGAATGGAAAGAAGCGTTTCAGAATATCCTTAACATTTCGATAAGACGACAGAGCTCCTCCGGTATTCCTCGCAATTGATAATCAATTTGCTCTAGTCCACCAGAACGATGATCGTATAAGAGGACGACATCTAATTATGATCGATCTTCTTTATAAGGATTTAGCCAATTAACATTCAGCAAAATGCCGAATAACGACCGCCTTTGAAAAGGAATACTTTTGCCACCATTTTATTAGCAATAACAGGAACATTTTTGAATCAATCTTCACTTAGACGTAATTCACTTGACCTCGGATAGATTTACCAAGAAAAGCCTCCAGAGTGTTACGCATAGACGGGATTTCTTTTAAATCAGCTGAGTAAACGCACGAGGTAATAGAAAATATCTTTATTTTTTACCGTTACCTCGTGCATGTGTAATCAGTCGGCACAGGTGAAGTGCCTAGGATATAGCGGTCGTGGATATTACCCAGTTCAACTTAAGGCGCGATACGGTAAACGAGAAATGACGAGACACCCCTCAGATCTAGTTGATCAGCTGCTTTCTAGTTCATTCGAGTAGAATGCCATGACGCATCTAAGAGTCAAGCCCAAAGTTTCTCGCTTACTAAACTGGGCGATGATGATCTGTGTCCATGACCTTTTTCATGCTTCAACTAGCTGAAATCCAGAGTAACGCAATTGATCAACCTTGATCGGATCCTGTTCTTAATTATACAAGTTCATTTCAATTATATACTCAGTAAATTCAGATTTCTGTGAAATAACGAACAGCGGTAACCAAGGCGTAGCAACTGATGTCTTCTTCCGAGCTAGCTAATTGAATATTTCAACCAAATACTTATAGAGCAAGCACTTCTAAAACGAAGCTAAATCCAGCGTTCTTATTTGAGTCAGAAATACCTATCGGTCTTCATGGTGCTCGAGAAACGCGTTGGCCATGGAGTATATTACACTGCTGCCCTAATCGGTACGCAAAAAATCTAACAAGATCCCTAACACCAAATCTCAAAAAAATCAACCGGATGTAAGATACAAGTTTGAAGTGTAGAAGTGACATAGTGGTAGCAACAGTGATGTGGTACCTTAAAAAGTTATCATCGAGGATGTGAGTTCCGATTTGTTCGTTGCGAGTTTTGATGTTGTTATGAGCAGAAAATATATTAATATTATATAAAATAGGCAGTAAAAATGACTGAAAAGGTGAAAGTTTGCAAAGCTAACTAGCTAAGCTTATTGACTTTATTCTAGTACAGCTAAGCGTTGAAAGGTTTGAGGCAGATTTAATATATAACGCATATGCAAGCTGACTATGATTGCGCAATGTGATATTGCTAGTACTTCAAAAAGGATGAACACGCCCAACCTAGGCTTAATAGGTTCGGATAGAATAAACTGAGCGTGACTTCCATGCACAAAGTGGAGGCGTCACCCTCCAACTACAAATAGTGTACGAAATAAAGTAGTTTTAATGACATTTTAAACCGTGGCAATAATAAGAGCAAAAAAGAAGTTTCCCTAATTGCGCATTTTACCATTGGTTTTGAAGAAATAATTAATGCTCCGTGTACACATACTCTAAAAACATCTATAGGTAAGCGTTGAAGTCTCCTTTCGAAAGGTTGGGCTCTGCACTTGATCCTGCAGACTAATCGATCCACAATCTTCCATAAGACTAGGCCGTTGATTTAAAATATTTTATAGCATTAAAACGTAGACCTACAACGCAACTACCTCTTATACAGCCAGGGCGTAATCTACAATGAATGCACGATCTTTTGTGAGAACACGAATACCTACGATAGATCAGATTACAGCCAATTTCTATACCCTGAAAGATTCATACCGAAATCACATTCTAGGGAAAGTAAGCCTGTTCACCTATAGCTTGAGGATTCCTCTACAATAATAATTATGATTAGAATTCCTATAAGAACATGAGATGTAGGAACAAAAGGAAACTTACATATCTCTGTGTTTAGAAGCACAGGAATATTGTAAGAACAACAAGAATTAGATACTGTGGGTGGCAGGCCGTTAAAGTGATGTTGTTTCCTTGTCTAATTTCAGGAATAGCCTTCTACTTTTTTCGGACATCCACAGCAGACGCACAGGGTATGATGGAAGTCGCAGAAAAAGTCAAAGGTGTGCTATCCAAAGGCCGCACGGCTGTCGGGGTTGCAGTCAAATTTGTACCTTGTTTCAAACTCGTTGCTGAAATACAGGGTAACGTAAGTAGTTACCTATAGGGTTTATATACTTGCACCACATAACTGGCATTAACCGATTCGTTAAATCGTCATCGTGGCGGTTACAAGCCGTAGCGGCGGCCACGTGGCTGAGTTCAAGGTGGTCTTATGACAACGTAGATAGCCTGTTAACGCCAACCTATCGGGTTATTGAGAATTGCTATAGAAAACATAATAATAACGTGTCATAACTGTGGCACACGTTACCTATTAGTGTTTTATCCATTAATTCTAGTTACAGCCAGGGTCCCGTATGTAATTACCGTAGATCTTTGAGGCAGAAATCGCTGGCTTAAGCTCCCTTGAGACACGCACAAAATGGTCTGTGTGAAATGAAAAAAAGCTACCCAATCCGCAAAGTAATTTTTGAGTCAACAAAATAACGCAGTAATTCTATCTTGCGTTTCTTTGGTCGATGCCCAGATGAAAAAGGTTGGTTATAACGCGAAAGGTTTAAGGATCTGTCTGGACAGGGCGATTCCGAAGGATGAAGAAATTCAGGGTAGAGAAGATCAGATGGTTACGAGGGAAGAACTGCGCACTAAGGTATTTTTTTCATTTATTCATGTTTTATTATTTTCTACTTCACTCCTAGCTGCCCGTGATACGTTCTGAGACAAAATTATATGCTATATATATTTTGTTTTAACATGGCCTTTTTGGCTCTACTTTCAAAAATATTTTCCACCCGATCAGCAAAGGGACAGTATAAATCCCCAAAAAAATTGACCATATGCCTAACTCATCTGAATCTATACATATATATATATATATATATATATATATATAATTAATAGGTAAACGGTTCGCTAGCTTGACATATTTTATGTAACAATAAAATATATTTCGAGTTGACTACACAACAATCACTGCTATAAGACGTTTTGTCAGCAGTATATAATTAATAATTTGCCATTTCGTTAAGAAAGACATTGGTGAAGTTTCGCGCGTGGATTGAAAACCGTAAGAACTACACTGACGCTCTCGTGCTAACAATAACTGTGTAGTCATGCGTGTAATCAAATGGCCCTTTAGCGTGTTTTTGGTTCCCCTAAAATGTAATTCCATATTTTCTTAGAACCCCTGAAAATTGTCTGGCAGTGAAGTTTGATCGAACCCTCCCGGACAAAAAAGTTAGAATACAATACAAGACGGGACCTGAAAGTCGCATTAACAGAACCGGTAATTCAAGAATGTTGAATATTTACACGATTTTACAATAAATGTCCTAACAGAAATTCTTGGGAGCGCTTTGTTTCTGTTATCCTTTACTCGAAATTCCAATATTGCAGTACGAAATCACGTACAAAAAATATATATATAAGGTATGAAAGCTTCTCTCTATGTACATTTTTATTTATCCAAAGAGGGCACTTGTGTATTCCTTAGTAAAAGTTAAAATCTTATTCAGTTATAAATTTTTTTAACGGTATCATTGTCACCTTGATAAGTGACAATAATACCGTTTAAACAAATGTCACAAAAGATAATCGAACGGGTTTAGCAGGTTTAGTCTAACATAATTGTCCATTACGTATTCCTACGCACTTAGGTTAAAAACTGTATCACGGCTATGATCGCAGCAGCAAGAGTGAGTGCATTTTTTATTGTGAATGATCATTATCAGTAAGGGCTATAGATTTGCACTTACATACCATAAACCCAACAGGTAGCAGTCATCTAATTCAACGCACAGATATTTACAGCACTTTGGTTGTAGTTTTAATAGAGGCTTATTTGGAATGGCTTTTATGGAAAACACATTAGAAATAAGTAAATGCTTCAAATCATAAAACAAAAAGAAACTTTATAATCTCGATACCGACTGAGCAGCATTAGTTTTTTTTCTGTTAACGACGCTTTTCGTATATGTCTCTGTACGGCCCGAGTCATCAACACAATTAAACAACAACGAACAAATAATGCCTTCCCGTCGACTAACCACGATTTGTCGAGCGAGTCCAAAATTCGTCCCTAGATCTAATTTCATTTTTGTTTCCCTCACGTCTGCCTAGGGCAAGGACGATATTGAGGAAGACATGCTTACCGATATAAAGGACTGCTTCATGAACGCGGCCCAATCATTGAGTGCTTTGACAGGAGGCGATGACGGAGATAACGCTGGCGGAGAGGGCCACCGCCGTTGAAAGCAAGAAACAAGGACTATTAACGTCAACGATACTTGTAAGCTTTTGCAGGACGTACCTGTTGGATCAAAATACTTCTAATATGAGAAAATAGATTTACGACAGCGCAAACAATATCTTAATTTTTTTTATTCAACAGCCTATAAGTAATTGAGTGTCTTAAGCATAAATTACCGAAACCATTTACTGTTTCTATATAATGCGATCCCAAGCGGCAGAATGAAGACCTGTGGCAACGACCACATAATCTTCAAGGGATTATGCTTCAGGCTAAGCGCAAAGCATTTGCCGTATGGAAAAACCATAATCTATCACAGAGTACCAGACAAACTCGGTTTACCCAAAAATGGATCGGCCGTAAATTTAGTTTGAACTATTGTCTATAAAATGAGCTTTACAGATGCCCTCGTCTGGGGGACATGCCTGCAGAGCTACTAAAATCGTCTCAACGCAGTTGTCTGTATAAGTTAGTGTTCCATGTATTTAGATTTTCGATAAATTGAAATAAATAAAGCTAATTAATACTATACAACCAATAAATTTACTTCACGACGTAAGAAAAAGCAAAATGGGCATGTGATTATTAGTTGATTTGCAAGAGAAATTGAGCTGACTATGTAATGTTGTATAATAGGCTGGCTGCATGTGACCACATACTATTACAATTTCGTTGCTACAAGTACAGACACGGATCGACCTCGTCTGTTCGATTGCATACTTTCTCTAGGTAAAATATACGTTACTAAATTAGCTACTTCCTCTCCAGCACTATCTATACATATCAGTTCTGCCACCAAAGACCTTTGTTTATGAATACCATTCTACATGTAAAATGAATAGTTCCTTAATTTTTAATGGTTATCCTTTCAGAAGTTTGGTATTGCTCTGATTAAATTTAACAGAAAAGCCTTTATACCTTCAAAGCTATAGTCCCTTGATTTATCTTTTGGATGAACCATATTTCAGTTGTTTTTATGCCTTCTGTTCTTAAGACACACGCGATATTACCTCAGACATCATTGTCTTAGTGCTAAACAATGTCAATTAAATCGAATTTTCAGTTGATTGACAGCAATAGTTCAAGTGGCTAGGATAGGCCATCTATTGTGGCTAATTAGCCACCATACAAACATAACCAGTCGCTTGAATTGAACACATAATGGTATTTTATTAGTATTCGAATAACCCAACGTTCCTATATATATATATATATATATATATATATATATATATATATATATATATAATATGAAGAAAATTATTTGAGGATGGGTTGTATGTACAAGACTGAAGTTATTTGAAATGCGGTCGATATATGTTAAGGAATTTCCGGTTGAGCGGTTGAGGAATGTTAAGGAAAGCGTAGATTTACTATAGGGGTAAGCTTATCGACAGAGTTTTTTTCTTATATAACAGTTATTACGTGTCAAAATGAAGCAGCTTCATTTAGTTGTTGTATGCGCTGTAAATCGTCCATTGAAGCTTGCAAACTGGCTTTCGCAAAACTCACCGAAGGCCTTCATTTAGCATATACTATATTATACGCGATATTTTTATTATTCCGTATTTTATCCTATTGTCATATGTTCTAATAATTTGAACTAACTGATGTACTAATTTGATATCTTTTTCTCTTGTTTGGCAGTTTTCGCCATGCACATGCTGCGACCTCTACGAAAGTCGACACCAAACAGGCCACAAAAGCAGTGAGAGATCAGGCTGTTAAAAGATCCGGTGATAGTGGAAGTGTCAAAGGCAATCTACCAAAGAAGTCAAGAACAAATGCTGAAATGCTTGGAGATTCTCCAATACAGATACTAAAGGTAATTTCAAGAACCGGAGGTGCTGTTTCCAAAAACGGGAAGGCTAGTCGGAAAAACGGAAACTCCCGCCCGAAAAGGCCGGAGATAGATAAGGGAAGATCGACCGCACTTGCTAATAATATTTCACCCAAGGCTCAAACAACCTTCGCAAGCAGTAAAAGCTCTTCCCTCAAGGCGACAAAAACCGATGAAGGACCACAAAATTTTTTGTCCAACAACGATAGAACTAGTGCGGAAATTGCAATCGTCTCGCCAAAAAAGGCGCCCAAAAATAGTACAAAACCTAATAGCGCCTCACCTAAAATGGCGAAGGCGGGCTTAAAACGAGAACAAACAGTCGGTAAAACTCCGCCCAAAAAATCGATAGCGAATCCGGCAAATCCGTTAATAAAACAGTCGAAAAGAGATATCAAAAATAGGTCGCCGAAAAAAAGTCAGCTGCCTCAAGACAACGATGGACGGCAACCAAGTGCGTCATATACAAGTATTTTGGACATTGATTTAAGTAACTTGGAATGTTCGATCGATGAAACGGAGGCTGGCATTTCGTCTGAAGCTCGAAATCTGATGGTAAAGTCAAAACCGGTTCCTAAAAATAGACATACATCACAGTCAGCATTCGTAAGCTTTCCTCGGATCAGTATAGCCTCACTCTTCCGGCGGTCGTTTAGTCGACTGGAAGAGAAGCACTCGTGGAGTGAGCAGAAACGTCCTTCCATCTTGGATGAGAAAAGTTGCAGATCGTGCTTTGTTCAACTCGAGAGGATTAAGTATGAAAGGGTATGCTAGTAACAACTGTTCCTCAAATTTTTAATTTCATTTTTTTTAATTCAAATACAATAAAAGCTTTTTTTTTTACAACACTAGTTGAATTCAGCCAACCGTTCTACATTAATCGCGATTATGGTTCACATAGTAAGCCATTACCAGTCAGCGACTTCTTCGGAGAGCCTGGTCAAGTTCACGATTTGAATACAACAGCTTACAACCGGCGCTAAAAACGTTATATATGTATATATATATATATATATATAGTAGGTGGTTAAACAGCATTTTCTTCAGCGAAATCTTCCCTTATCTTCCGAAAACATCCATAGATATTGTTTAAATATGATTTCGTTACAAAAACATTTTTTGATGGCGCCGTACACGTATTCAGCCTGCTTTGCGTGATGCTATTGTTACAACCGACATTTTTTTAAATAAAGCAGTAATAATCTGCAACTAAGGAAGTCAATTTTTTTGGTTGCTGACAAGATGCACATACATCATATATTATATAAGATATTTATTGTATCAATGAAGAAAATGTTTTTATATTTAATACAATACGAAAATTACATTCATACAGTTCTCATCGAGGCAGATGGTCAGGCTTACGGTGCATACATAACGGACATCGACAGGAAGCGTTACTACGCGCTTACTGAAGTCTATATTGAAGCCATTAGTGAGCATCTCCGTTAACAGGCGGTACGCCATCCTTTGAACCGGACGCTAACAGCGTTCTAAGCAACTAACTTCATCTGCGATTCGTTTCTAGCCTGATTGTGGATTCATGCTAGCGAACGGTTGGAATAATTCTGAACTATTTAATGTTCGATTGCTTCATATTTTAGGTGCTGCCTCTGGTGATACCCGAGTATCCGGTGAATTTCACTTATTTACTCAACTCGTGGGATATCGAAGTTGTGGCAAAGATCGGCGAGGGCTCGTTTTCAGAGGTATTTCAAGTACGGAAGATTGAGCCATCAGGTGATGAAAACACTCAAACCGAGTACGTTATTAAGGTCGTGCCAGTAGGAAATCACGGGCAACCGAAATTCGATGATTTATTGCCAGAAATGCATATGAGTCTCGCCGGAAGGTAAGTATTAGTGTGAGTTTCGTATAAGTCGCGCGAATCCCAGCTCGACTTTTGTACAGCGCCTAGGCAGGCGCGTTTTTATTAAAAGGCGATTTAGTATGTGTTGATTTGTATATTTCTGTACCCACAGAGAGGATCTAAAACGTCCTTATTTCTAATCGAAAACGACAAACGTTTGTCGTTGATGAAAAGTTGCTTGGATTTGACTCATTCATTGATAGACTATGGAATGAATCTATATAATAACTTGCACATTTATTATCTATAATATAATTTTGTTTTATGTTTCGGAAATTTTCAGGGATCTCCAGGAAAGCGACGTAAATCGGGCTCCAACGTTCATAGGTCTTCAGGGAATGCACCTTGTATACGGAGAATTCACCGACGAAATGGCCTCCGCTTGCCAGATCTTTGCAACTAATTTTCCTGATGACGCGGAACACCCACTACCGAGTGAACGTCCTGTAGACCAATATTTCATCGTGTTTTTCACCTCGTACGATGGCGTGGAACTCGAAACGATTTTGCCTAAGTTGACAACCGAGCAGAAATGCTCGATCGTTTTGCAGATCACGCTAGGTTTGGCTGCCGCCGAAGCTGCATTCGATTTCGAGCACCGCGATCTTCATTTGAGCAATCTCGTCGTTAGCGATTATGAAATCAATAATAATGATACCTCTAATGATGACGATGGCGGCTGTGCCTCAATTGCCACCACTGTTAGCAGCGACAACAATGATCACAGTTCCATGATCGAATTTCGCGTTGAGGGTAAGTCCTACTGGGTGAATTCGTTTGGAAAAAAGATTGCCCTTATTGATTACGGAATGAGCCGGCTCGTCGTCGACGAAACCCTATACACATCATTTAGTTCATCAATACTCGAGGGTCACAATTTGCAGCGGAAGACATATCGTGAGCAGCATAAACTGGTTGGAGGCATCGGTAACTACCGCACTGCGATGCCCGAAACGAACGGTCTATGGATCAAATTTCTTATCTGTAAGCTGTTCCCCAAGCGACCGCTGAATCCGAACAAGGCGCAGTACGCCATTCAGGTCAACCAGCTATACGAGGCTCTCATGTTGAAACCGGTATGCGCCCGAAACTGCCTTTCTCTTTTGGCATTCAATGGCAATGGTGGTCTGCCGACGTAGGATATGTTAATTCAAAAAGCATAATGTCAGCGGTGCTATGTGATGGAAAGTGCTGCTGTACAATAGAAATGGAAGGAGTTGCCAACATTGAACATCACGCATTAGCTTAACGGGTGAACGCATTGCGAAGAGTGGCAGGTGGGGTGGTTAAATCTAAAGCATATCGTGTTTAAAAATGAAATCTGGAATAATGCGAATACAATGACAATGTACAAACGACACGTTAGCATACATCTAGCGTCCTGAGAAAATCAGCAGGTATTGTTACCATTTACATACTAAATGATAGAGGTATTAATAGAACGACAATTATCGCTTACGTGACAATCTCTAGATGAATCATCTTTAAACGATGGAATATATTCCCATGCCGGCCACACCCGTATGTAAACATACCATTCTAGCATAGTAGTTCAAGGTTATTCAACCCTGACAAAAATAAGCAAAGCCCTAAAAACATGTCTCTGTCCAAGACGTGTGCAAGCTGTCTCACTCTTTTACCCGAAATGTGCTTGTCAAGCCATTAGACAGATTTCATGTGCGCCCATTTCATCCGCTCATCAACTGTGCTTGTTCGTGTCTCTTACCACAAACAAAGAGCAGCGTTTTGTCTTTGAATATCGAATGCAGACCTGTTTACACACGTATACAGTGCTTTGCCGTGTTGCCATATGTAAAGTAAAATTGTTTACTATTTCACAATTACGAATTCCGCGCGGACCAAATTCCGCTGGATTTCGTCTGCTACAACTTTAGCGCCAAAATAATTCCAGATACGGTCGGCGGTTGGGTTATCCCTGCATTGAATTCATTGTATTCGCGGCGACCAGTGTAGAAGAAACACGAAAAAAATATAACAGCAAAGTGGCAAAATAGCTGGGCATATGTATCTGGGCAGCCGGATACTCAGCCGGAATCAGTTCTGTCAGTGTGTGGACAGCGTAGACAGTTCTGCTACATCTCTCCTACGGATCGGCCACGTAGAAATTATTTCTGTACTGAGTTTGGCTAAGCGCACGGTGGCAAGGGTGAGGAACCACAGATGAAAATCGTTAGACAGTGAACTTGTTTATTTTTATTTCTATATTATATTTACTTTGTTGGTGTTTATCGAAAGGCTCTGATTAAGCCTGATTGAGCATAAGGAAGACGTTGAGTAACCTTGAGGTAACGCGTATTTGCATGAAGAGAAACACAGTCGAACGAGCTAATTGAATATCCTCCGGAGATAAAAAGTAGCCCGATAGCCTTCAAATATCGACAGCAGCTGGCGGCTACGGAAGACCGTGATTACAATTAGACGAGCCGTGTTTCTTTATGTGTGTGTTTCTCTCTATTTACGGCTCGTGATCCATATATATCCGACTTGATTGCTCGACGACCTCGAAGAGTGCGTCGGATTGCGATGCGTTCAGGAAAAACGGCCCGCTTCGCAGGAGCAGAAGAATGTGGCTTTACTCCATAAACTCTACAAATTCCGTTTGTCCTCGCGGTTCGAGTTTGGCATCAGACAATCTATATGAGGTGGATTCATCACCGGAGGGTAGCAGCAGCAGCAGCACTTCGGATCCATATAGATTGTTTGCCTTTCCCGAATCGCATTCACCTCCAACCCCATATGAAACTACTAGGCAGCGTGAAGCAGCTCGACGACGTCAAGCTAAGGTCAAAGCTGGAAAGCGGCAGCTAGAGCAAAATGAACTGCAAACCTGTGACGAAGCTTGCAGAATAACTTTGTTTGAAAACGAGCTGTCAGAAAATGCCCGACAGCGCCAAGCATGTTGGAAGCCGGCTGGCAAGTCAAACGCTTTCAGAACAAAACTGTCTCAAGATAGATTAGGTGGGAATGGTAAATTAAACAAAAGCGTAGAGAAAAAGAACGAGGGTCTAAAACGTAAGGCTCAGAGAGTTATAGCCAAAAGACGGGTTCACAGAATTCATAACGTTAATCAAGCCAGCAAAGATAAAAAGAAGGTCTATTGTGAAGTAGAACAGAAATTACTTGTGAATCAGGAAATTCGGGATTTATCGCTAAAACGAAGCTCAAGCAATACAGCTTGCGCGTCCCTAAAAGAAAACGTGAGGCCAACGCTAACGTTAGGCCACCAACCCAGCAAGGCACAAGACGAAAAGAAATTAGATCAGGTGGTTACTTCGGACAACGCTCACAAACTGCTGTTGGACTCTGACGGGATCGATCGCATCTTCGACAGTGTCGTAGTCATGCCAGCCATGTATAGCACAAAAGCTAACAGCTACAAAGCCGATGGCGTTTTCCGAGGTCTATCGGCCTGCGCCATTAGAAAATCTCCACTTCTGATTAACTCGACACGACGATATGATGGTATTAACACGACAGCGAAAACAAAGATACGTGACAATGTCTCGCTTTTCAAAAAGAGAACGGTTAACGAGCTGAATAGTGGTAGCACTGATGCTGTTATTAGCGGCAATTGCAGCAATTTCCAGTTACAAAGTCGAGCTCTGATGAACTATTCGCCGGAGTTGAACACTGAAGTCCGCATTGGCAATACGGAACAATACAGATCCGAGGTTAATGGTGCAGAGCCGCTACTACTGAAGCACGCGGCATCACCTCGTCAGGTCACGTGTGACTCCAGGTTGAAAAAACCACAGCAGCGTCGGAGCCAGACATCAAACAATAGATTTCCACGAGAAGTGTGGAAGGGAGCGGCGGTTCGACGCGAGCGTTTTGCACAACTTGAGGGGAAACGCGTCAAAACTGAGCGAACAGTTAGCATCACCTCAATAAAAAATTCAAACAATCAGTTGAGCGTGTTGAATAAACCTAACGGGCGTGCTATAGATGGACATAGCTCAGACGAAGATGCGAAGAAAACGGGTACCGATGAGTGCCAAAGTGGGTATGATCAAAAAGAAATGGCACGACGGCGTTTAGTTGACGAATGCACTCAAAGGGACTGTTACGTTGTAACGGCACGCTATGAAGAACCTGGAGGGCACACGAGGTATGTCTCTCATTATGGATAGAGCAAAGGCTTCCATTTAAGATATGCACAATATACCATCGTTGTTAATATTGTTTTAACGATACAGCTATATATGCAGCGAATAGCATCTTAATATTTCGGTTACCATAATTTACTGGGTTCTACATTACGTATTGCTTAATATGAAGAAAATTATTTGAGGATGGGTTGTATGTACAAGACTGAAGTTATTTGAAATGCGGTCGATATATGTTAAGGAATTTCCGGTTGAGCGGTTGAGGAATGTTAAGGAAAGCGTAGATTTACTATAGGGGTAAGCTTATCGACAGAGTTTTTTTCTTATATAACAGTTATTACGTGTCAAAATGAAGCAGCTTCATTTAGTTGTTGTATGCGCTGTAAATCGTCCATTGAAGCTTGCAAACTGGCTTTCGCAAAACTCACCGAAGGCCTTCATTTAGCATATACTATATTATACGCGATATTTTTATTATTCCGTATTTTATCCTATTGTCATATGTTCTAATAATTTGAACTAACTGATGTACTAATTTGATATCTTTTTCTCTTGTTTGGCAGTTTTCGCCATGCACATGCTGCGACCTCTACGAAAGTCGACACCAAACAGGCCACAAAAGCAGTGAGAGATCAGGCTGTTAAAAGATCCGGTGATAGTGGAAGTGTCAAAGGCAATCTACCAAAGAAGTCAAGAACAAATGCTGAAATGCTTGGAGATTCTCCAATACAGATACTAAAGGTAATTTCAAGAACCGGAGGTGCTGTTTCCAAAAACGGGAAGGCTAGTCGGAAAAACGGAAACTCCCGCCCGAAAAGGCCGGAGATAGATAAGGGAAGATCGACCGCACTTGCTAATAATATTTCACCCAAGGCTCAAACAACCTTCGCAAGCAGTAAAAGCTCTTCCCTCAAGGCGACAAAAACCGATGAAGGACCACAAAATTTTTTGTCCAACAACGATAGAACTAGTGCGGAAATTGCAATCGTCTCGCCAAAAAAGGCGCCCAAAAATAGTACAAAACCTAATAGCGCCTCACCTAAAATGGCGAAGGCGGGCTTAAAACGAGAACAAACAGTCGGTAAAACTCCGCCCAAAAAATCGATAGCGAATCCGGCAAATCCGTTAATAAAACAGTCGAAAAGAGATATCAAAAATAGGTCGCCGAAAAAAAGTCAGCTGCCTCAAGACAACGATGGACGGCAACCAAGTGCGTCATATACAAGTATTTTGGACATTGATTTAAGTAACTTGGAATGTTCGATCGATGAAACGGAGGCTGGCATTTCGTCTGAAGCTCGAAATCTGATGGTAAAGTCAAAACCGGTTCCTAAAAATAGACATACATCACAGTCAGCATTCGTAAGCTTTCCTCGGATCAGTATAGCCTCACTCTTCCGGCGGTCGTTTAGTCGACTGGAAGAGAAGCACTCGTGGAGTGAGCAGAAACGTCCTTCCATCTTGGATGAGAAAAGTTGCAGATCGTGCTTTGTTCAACTCGAGAGGATTAAGTATGAAAGGGTATGCTAGTAACAACTGTTCCTCAAATTTTTAATTTCATTTTTTTTAATTCAAATACAATAAAAGCTTTTTTTTTTACAACACTAGTTGAATTCAGCCAACCGTTCTACATTAATCGCGATTATGGTTCACATAGTAAGCCATTACCAGTCAGCGACTTCTTCGGAGAGCCTGGTCAAGTTCACGATTTGAATACAACAGCTTACAACCGGCGCTAAAAACGTTATATATGTATATATATATATATATATATAGTAGGTGGTTAAACAGCATTTTCTTCAGCGAAATCTTCCCTTATCTTCCGAAAACATCCATAGATATTGTTTAAATATGATTTCGTTACAAAAACATTTTTTGATGGCGCCGTACACGTATTCAGCCTGCTTTGCGTGATGCTATTGTTACAACCGACATTTTTTTAAATAAAGCAGTAATAATCTGCAACTAAGGAAGTCAATTTTTTTGGTTGCTGACAAGATGCACATACATCATATATTATATAAGATATTTATTGTATCAATGAAGAAAATGTTTTTATATTTAATACAATACGAAAATTACATTCATACAGTTCTCATCGAGGCAGATGGTCAGGCTTACGGTGCATACATAACGGACATCGACAGGAAGCGTTACTACGCGCTTACTGAAGTCTATATTGAAGCCATTAGTGAGCATCTCCGTTAACAGGCGGTACGCCATCCTTTGAACCGGACGCTAACAGCGTTCTAAGCAACTAACTTCATCTGCGATTCGTTTCTAGCCTGATTGTGGATTCATGCTAGCGAACGGTTGGAATAATTCTGAACTATTTAATGTTCGATTGCTTCATATTTTAGGTGCTGCCTCTGGTGATACCCGAGTATCCGGTGAATTTCACTTATTTACTCAACTCGTGGGATATCGAAGTTGTGGCAAAGATCGGCGAGGGCTCGTTTTCAGAGGTATTTCAAGTACGGAAGATTGAGCCATCAGGTGATGAAAACACTCAAACCGAGTACGTTATTAAGGTCGTGCCAGTAGGAAATCACGGGCAACCGAAATTCGATGATTTATTGCCAGAAATGCATATGAGTCTCGCCGGAAGGTAAGTATTAGTGTGAGTTTCGTATAAGTCGCGCGAATCCCAGCTCGACTTTTGTACAGCGCCTAGGCAGGCGCGTTTTTATTAAAAGGCGATTTAGTATGTGTTGATTTGTATATTTCTGTACCCACAGAGAGGATCTAAAACGTCCTTATTTCTAATCGAAAACGACAAACGTTTGTCGTTGATGAAAAGTTGCTTGGATTTGACTCATTCATTGATAGACTATGGAATGAATCTATATAATAACTTGCACATTTATTATCTATAATATAATTTTGTTTTATGTTTCGGAAATTTTCAGGGATCTCCAGGAAAGCGACGTAAATCGGGCTCCAACGTTCATAGGTCTTCAGGGAATGCACCTTGTATACGGAGAATTCACCGACGAAATGGCCTCCGCTTGCCAGATCTTTGCAACTAATTTTCCTGATGACGCGGAACACCCACTACCGAGTGAACGTCCTGTAGACCAATATTTCATCGTGTTTTTCACCTCGTACGATGGCGTGGAACTCGAAACGATTTTGCCTAAGTTGACAACCGAGCAGAAATGCTCGATCGTTTTGCAGATCACGCTAGGTTTGGCTGCCGCCGAAGCTGCATTCGATTTCGAGCACCGCGATCTTCATTTGAGCAATCTCGTCGTTAGCGATTATGAAATCAATAATAATGATACCTCTAATGATGACGATGGCGGCTGTGCCTCAATTGCCACCACTGTTAGCAGCGACAACAATGATCACAGTTCCATGATCGAATTTCGCGTTGAGGGTAAGTCCTACTGGGTGAATTCGTTTGGAAAAAAGATTGCCCTTATTGATTACGGAATGAGCCGGCTCGTCGTCGACGAAACCCTATACACATCATTTAGTTCATCAATACTCGAGGGTCACAATTTGCAGCGGAAGACATATCGTGAGCAGCATAAACTGGTTGGAGGCATCGGTAACTACCGCACTGCGATGCCCGAAACGAACGGTCTATGGATCAAATTTCTTATCTGTAAGCTGTTCCCCAAGCGACCGCTGAATCCGAACAAGGCGCAGTACGCCATTCAGGTCAACCAGCTATACGAGGCTCTCATGTTGAAACCGGTATGCGCCCGAAACTGCCTTTCTCTTTTGGCATTCAATGGCAATGGTGGTCTGCCGACGTAGGATATGTTAATTCAAAAAGCATAATGTCAGCGGTGCTATGTGATGGAAAGTGCTGCTGTACAATAGAAATGGAAGGAGTTGCCAACATTGAACATCACGCATTAGCTTAACGGGTGAACGCATTGCGAAGAGTGGCAGGTGGGGTGGTTAAATCTAAAGCATATCGTGTTTAAAAATGAAATCTGGAATAATGCGAATACAATGACAATGTACAAACGACACGTTAGCATACATCTAGCGTCCTGAGAAAATCAGCAGGTATTGTTACCATTTACATACTAAATGATAGAGGTATTAATAGAACGACAATTATCGCTTACGTGACAATCTCTAGATGAATCATCTTTAAACGATGGAATATATTCCCATGCCGGCCACACCCGTATGTAAACATACCATTCTAGCATAGTAGTTCAAGGTTATTCAACCCTGACAAAAATAAGCAAAGCCCTAAAAACATGTCTCTGTCCAAGACGTGTGCAAGCTGTCTCACTCTTTTACCCGAAATGTGCTTGTCAAGCCATTAGACAGATTTCATGTGCGCCCATTTCATCCGCTCATCAACTGTGCTTGTTCGTGTCTCTTACCACAAACAAAGAGCAGCGTTTTGTCTTTGAATATCGAATGCAGACCTGTTTACACACGTATACATATATATATATATATATATATATGTATATATAATATATATATATATATATGTCTGCTGCAGCGGTTTCAAGTGTATTGTCCACCTTAGTGTTTTTTGGCTGCCTGCGTTTGCCTACCGATAGCATTCACGAACTATGAAAATCGAGATATTGCCGCCATGTTGTTGCTATATAATATCTCAGCAGGTGCATAGCATGTCGGCCCCTCCCGTTCCTGTAACCATTTTCCACCCTTGGTTGAAATCTTATAATAGAAACTGTGGTAGTATTACGGCAGACCGTGATACAGTGTTTTATCGCTTGATCTAGGTTATGTGAAATTCCGTGGCTATTGACACAAATAATTCTATCAAGTTTCGCGTGGCAGTATAGAGTCGTGTATATATGCTATGCGTGTTCAATATCTTGGTGCATATAGATGTTCGATTATGTATTGGTATTGCTTTTAGGGCAGTTGTTAAATAGAACCTATATTGCAAAATAAAGGCTGAGCCGGCAATATTCATAATATTATAAGATAGTAATGTTACTTATATTAGGTTCGATAAGCTCTTGGCCCAGAACCCGGTGGCGTTTTATGTAGTACTAGAAGTTAGTTTATGTTGACACACCGTCACCTGAATTAGAATGTTATTTGAAATCACAAATTATCGTGAAAGGCCACACGGCAAGTCAAAAGAAAAAATCTATGAAGCCGACAAATTTGGGAAGCGATGTTGCGCACTTCTGAAGCTAGTCTACTGAACCAAACGCAAATAAATTTTAAAGTACGTGCTCATGTTATTCTCTAACTTTTGACGAGGAGAAAGTTCGTCCTCCAAACTTCTTTTTATTATTATTATTATTAAATAAAAAAGACTGCAAATAAAAAAAAATAAATGTTAAAAATATTCTTAAAACTTTAATCAAGTATAGAAGTATAGATCTTTCTATTACTCATTTTGTTAATATAACGTTTATGATGACACATTATGACATTAGCACTAGCATATAGCAGCTGTGGTACGATGTATTCAAAGTAATGAAATTCGTTTTGTCAAGAAATTCATTGTATATATTCATTATATTTGTATAGCACGCATTACCTATTGATTGAAGTTGGAAGATAAATACAGCTGGTGATCACTGTTGTTAGACGACGCTTCTGTTTCACAATAGAAGAAGTTTATTTCGCTAAAGCACGCATATGTTCAAGTAGCCTTTACCTCTGTCAACCCCCCTAGAGTTTTAAGCAAGGCAGAATAAATCTATAATCCTTTTAATGCAACCAATTGTGGCTTGAACACACGTACTAAATACAGTGAACTAATGGCAATGATCATAATTGATCATAAGCCTTTGAAAAATTGTATCCATTATATCTCCAAACCAATGCAAAGAGTGGGATGATGACAAAGAGTACCGTTGTCACCAGAACATAACGGACTGGTTATTATTGTATCATTCAATGACGCAGCTATAAGCGCGATCTTAAGCGAATGACAGCAGAACAACTTTCAATGGGGAGGACGTGCATATCGAAGTAAAGAACATTAGAATGTGTATGTTTCTAAGCAGTAATTAAAAATGTTAAAAATAAGAATAAGCTATCAATAATTTGCACTAAAAAATAGATTATATATATATATATATATATATATATATCTCGACAGAGACAAATAAAGCACGCTGCCGGTCGTTAGTGAAGAAAATAATAATTATATTTGGCTCATCTCGATATATATCTTTTTCACTAACGACCGACAGCGTGCTTTATTTGTCTTTATCAAACGCTCTCTTTAAGGCGCATAGTTGACGCAATTCAATGAACTTTTTCTGAGGACTACTCAGCGTAGTGAAGAGCTTTTGCCTGCGTAAATCAACATAAAATCAACAACTCGCTTTGCAAGTTTGCCCCGTGCATGTCATATGGACCATAATATGCCGCGTGGCGGACGTTTGTTGACAAATCATGTACAGAACTGCGCAGTTGCACAAGCTGTTCAGGCCCAGTGGGTGCAGTTACCTAGCAGTCCAGTTTCGCGGTTCCATCGTCAGTAAAGGACAAAGTTTATTCTTGGTGTGCAAGGCACAGCGACGTCGGGATCACCAGCTCGACTAAGGCTAACGATGGCGGCCACACGATGAGATCGCTGCTAGACACTAGATAGGAATCCACCTTGTCTCGTTTACGTAAGTTTCGTTTGCCTTCAGTGCAGCCAGGGCTCTGTCGACACACCATACGTCGTTCTCGTCTTCGCAGCTCTTAATATATATATATATATATATATATATATATATATATATATTTTTTTTTTTAGTGCAAATTATTGATAGCTTATTCTTATTTTTAAAATTTTTAATTACTGCTTAGAATATATATATATATATATATATATATATATATATATATATATATATATATAGAACGTTGGTTTATTTAATACTAATAAAATACCATTATGTGTTCAATTCAAGCGACTGGTTATGTTTGTATGGTGGCTAATTAGCCACAATAGATGGCCTATCCTAGCCACTTGAACTATTGCTGTCAATCAACTGAAAATTCGATTTAATTGACATTGTTTAGCACTAAGACAATGATGTCTGAGGTAATATCGCGTGTGTCTTAAGAACAGAAGGCATAAAAACAACTGAAATATGGTTCATCCAAAAGATAAATCAAGGGACTATAGCTTTGAAGGTATAAAGGCTTTTCTGTTAAATTTAATCAGAGCAATACCAAACTTCTGAAAGGATAACCATTAAAAATTAAGGAACTATTCATTTTACATGTAGAATGGTATTCATAAACAAAGGTCTTTGGTGGCAGAACTGATATGTATAGATAGTGCTGGAGAGGAAGTAGCTAATTTAGTAACGTATATTTTACCTAGAGAAAGTATGCAATCGAACAGACGAGGTCGATCCGTGTCTGTACTTGTAGCAACGAAATTGTAATAGTATGTGGTCACATGCAGCCAGCCTATTATACAACATTACATAGTCAGCTCAATTTCTCTTGCAAATCAACTAATAATCACATGCCCATTTTGCTTTTTCTTACGTCGTGAAGTAAATTTATTGGTTGTATAGTATTAATTAGCTTTATTTATTTCAATTTATCGAAAATCTAAATACATGGAACACTAACTTATACAGACAACTGCGTTGAGACGATTTTAGTAGCTCTGCAGGCATGTCCCCCAGACGAGGGCATCTGTAAAGCTCATTTTATAGACAATAGTTCAAACTAAATTTACGGCCGATCCATTTTTGGGTAAACCGAGTTTGTCTGGTACTCTGTGATAGATTATGGTTTTTCCATACGGCAAATGCTTTGCGCTTAGCCTGAAGCATAATCCCTTGAAGATTATGTGGTCGTTGCCACAGGTCTTCATTCTGCCGCTTGGGATCGCATTATATAGAAACAGTAAATGGTTTCGGTAATTTATGCTTAAGACACTCAATTACTTATAGGCTGTTGAATAAAAAAAATTAAGATATTGTTTGCGCTGTCGTAAATCTATTTTCTCATATTAGAAGTATTTTGATCCAACAGGTACGTCCTGCAAAAGCTTACAAGTATCGTTGACGTTAATAGTCCTTGTTTCTTGCTTTCAACGGCGGTGGCCCTCTCCGCCAGCGTTATCTCCGTCATCGCCTCCTGTCAAAGCACTCAATGATTGGGCCGCGTTCATGAAGCAGTCCTTTATATCGGTAAGCATGTCTTCCTCAATATCGTCCTTGCCCTAGGCAGACGTGAGGGAAACAAAAATGAAATTAGATCTAGGGACGAATTTTGGACTCGCTCGACAAATCGTGGTTAGTCGACGGGAAGGCATTATTTGTTCGTTGTTGTTTAATTGTGTTGATGACTCGGGCCGTACAGAGACATATACGAAAAGCGTCGTTAACAGAAAAAAAACTAATGCTGCTCAGTCGGTATCGAGATTATAAAGTTTCTTTTTGTTTTATGATTTGAAGCATTTACTTATTTCTAATGTGTTTTCCATAAAAGCCATTCCAAATAAGCCTCTATTAAAACTACAACCAAAGTGCTGTAAATATCTGTGCGTTGAATTAGATGACTGCTACCTGTTGGGTTTATGGTATGTAAGTGCAAATCTATAGCCCTTACTGATAATGATCATTCACAATAAAAAATGCACTCACTCTTGCTGCTGCGATCATAGCCGTGATACAGTTTTTAACCTAAGTGCGTAGGAATACGTAATGGACAATTATGTTAGACTAAACCTGCTAAACCCGTTCGATTATCTTTTGTGACATTTGTTTAAACGGTATTATTGTCACTTATCAAGGTGACAATGATACCGTTAAAAAAATTTATAACTGAATAAGATTTTAACTTTTACTAAGGAATACACAAGTGCCCTCTTTGGATAAATAAAAATGTACATAGAGAGAAGCTTTCATACCTTATATATATATTTTTTGTACGTGATTTCGTACTGCAATATTGGAATTTCGAGTAAAGGATAACAGAAACAAAGCGCTCCCAAGAATTTCTGTTAGGACATTTATTGTAAAATCGTGTAAATATTCAACATTCTTGAATTACCGGTTCTGTTAATGCGACTTTCAGGTCCCGTCTTGTATTGTATTCTAACTTTTTTGTCCGGGAGGGTTCGATCAAACTTCACTGCCAGACAATTTTCAGGGGTTCTAAGAAAATATGGAATTACATTTTAGGGGAACCAAAAACACGCTAAAGGGCCATTTGATTACACGCATGACTACACAGTTATTGTTAGCACGAGAGCGTCAGTGTAGTTCTTACGGTTTTCAATCCACGCGCGAAACTTCACCAATGTCTTTCTTAACGAAATGGCAAATTATTAATTATATACTGCTGACAAAACGTCTTATAGCAGTGATTGTTGTGTAGTCAACTCGAAATATATTTTATTGTTACATAAAATATGTCAAGCTAGCGAACCGTTTACCTATTAATTATATATATATATATATATATATATATATATGTATAGATTCAGATGAGTTAGGCATATGGTCAATTTTTTTGGGGATTTATACTGTCCCTTTGCTGATCGGGTGGAAAATATTTTTGAAAGTAGAGCCAAAAAGGCCATGTTAAAACAAAATATATATAGCATATAATTTTGTCTCAGAACGTATCACGGGCAGCTAGGAGTGAAGTAGAAAATAATAAAACATGAATAAATGAAAAAAATACCTTAGTGCGCAGTTCTTCCCTCGTAACCATCTGATCTTCTCTACCCTGAATTTCTTCATCCTTCGGAATCGCCCTGTCCAGACAGATCCTTAAACCTTTCGCGTTATAACCAACCTTTTTCATCTGGGCATCGACCAAAGAAACGCAAGATAGAATTACTGCGTTATTTTGTTGACTCAAAAATTACTTTGCGGATTGGGTAGCTTTTTTTCATTTCACACAGACCATTTTGTGCGTGTCTCAAGGGAGCTTAAGCCAGCGATTTCTGCCTCAAAGATCTACGGTAATTACATACGGGACCCTGGCTGTAACTAGAATTAATGGATAAAACACTAATAGGTAACGTGTGCCACAGTTATGACACGTTATTATTATGTTTTCTATAGCAATTCTCAATAACCCGATAGGTTGGCGTTAACAGGCTATCTACGTTGTCATAAGACCACCTTGAACTCAGCCACGTGGCCGCCGCTACGGCTTGTAACCGCCACGATGACGATTTAACGAATCGGTTAATGCCAGTTATGTGGTGCAAGTATATAAACCCTATAGGTAACTACTTACGTTACCCTGTATTTCAGCAACGAGTTTGAAACAAGGTACAAATTTGACTGCAACCCCGACAGCCGTGCGGCCTTTGGATAGCACACCTTTGACTTTTTCTGCGACTTCCATCATACCCTGTGCGTCTGCTGTGGATGTCCGAAAAAAGTAGAAGGCTATTCCTGAAATTAGACAAGGAAACAACATCACTTTAACGGCCTGCCACCCACAGTATCTAATTCTTGTTGTTCTT